GTATATGAGCCGACACTAGACCATGTTAACATGGTCATATAAATGGTATGGTGAAGTCAGAAATTTGATATCATCATTCTGATTTTTTTAATTTTCATACAAAATAAATTTTATAAAATCCGATTTGTATGAAAATTAAAATAATTAAAATGAAGATATCAATTTTCTGACTNACTGGTTATGAAAAATTTTAAAATCTGGAATTAAAGCCAATTTTAAATGAATAAAATACATAAAGTAGGAATAACTTACGTCTTGTCATGCCAAAATACACGTAGGTACATAAAATAAAACAATACCTAACATAATTTTTATTTCTTTATTTTTAACTCATGCAACAAAAAGGCACCATTAACATTTTATACAGCACAAATTTAAAAACGATTTTAGTCCTTAGCTTTAAAAATATAAGGTTAATATCATTCGTGGTTGTGTTCTCCATGAACAGCGATGACCATATCGTCCATAGTTTGGACGGACACCCGACAGTTTTTGCTTTTCTTCTTGGAGCAGTACCAGCGGCAAGCCTTGTTCTGTTTGAAAGATCGCTTGTCACACCAAAAAGTGTGGCCACAGTACACAAGCAGGTAATTCCCCTTTTCAGTTGGTATGAACTCTGGAACTAAAATTGAGACATTCTTACAAGTACAAAACAACACAAATAACATTGAAGCAGGTTGGTAAGACAAAGAACAATAACAAAACCATATTTTGTCAATTCTATATTTTCAGTAACAGTATGTAGGTACATTGACATTAATTTATTTAAAGGACATTTATAGGATAATTAATTACTCACAAGATTTATTAACTATCTAAACTAAAATTATTTTACTAAGACAGATCATAAATAAAAATATCATGGCAGATTGGAGAAAACTTATAAATAAAATTACGGATTTAAAATTAAAATCTCATAATAATTTTATAAATAATAATAAAATTGTTATATGGCGATAAAATTAAAGTATTACTTTATTACTAAACACTTAAGTATCAATAATTTGGCATAATTTTCTTCATGGCATTAATGACTACTAATTGTTACTAACCGTGCCTATGACTTTTGGCACATAATATTGAAGAACTACGATTAGGTTCAAGTATGTTCATTAAAAGTATATACAGTGTGAGTCACGATAAAGTGTACAATGTACATATGAAAATAGGTGAAACTAGACCTATTTTTATCGACAAAAAAGAGGTCAAAGATATAATATAGGATAAAAGTAGGTCTAGTTTCACATATTTTCATATGTGCACTTTATCGTCACTCACACTGTATAGACAAAGTCACATATCGGCCACAGTTCCAGCTACCCATTTGGTCATATCGTCTCGTTCTATCACAAAGAATCACCATTTGGTGAGAGCGTGAGAAAATACGGAAAAAGGTAGCTGAAACTGTGGCCCACTGTACATCATATTATTTTTGAATTTTTCCCGTTCTAATACTAAAAAACCGTGACAAACACCATGCAGAAAGGAGTACAGCAGTACCTTCACGGTCTTCATCATCATCATTATCATCATTTCAGCCATAGGACGTCCACTGCTGAACATAGGCCTCCCCCAATTATTTCCACAAAGGCCGGTTGGTGGCGTCCTGCATCCAGCGCCTGCTGCTACTATTATGAGGTCGTCGGTCCACCTTGATCATGACTTAACAATAAATAAATTAATGGTTGTGACATCCATACACAGCTAACACTCTTCCCTGATGTGTTTTTATTCCAACGGGACATTTAGACACTTTTCTTTTCGAACAGTACCATTTCCTGGTCGCGTCAAGAGATAGGCGGGAACTATTTTTGTACCAGTTGCACCAAAATGTGTTTTTTCCATACCTTAGAATATAATTCCCTCTCTTTGTAGGCAATAACTCGGCATCTGCAAAGTTAATCTTTATTTATAAAAAAATCACACTTGATTTTTTCTAAAAATCGACCAGTACTTGGAAAAATCTACGTTTATTTAATGGTGTTACTACGTAATTTCGGAAAAAAATATTATCAATATAATAAATAAAGACTGATAATCATGAGGCACTAATTTACCAATAAGAAGTCAATGTAAAAGATAATTTTATTTTGTGACAGGTTACGCGTGATGACTAGTTAAAGTTATAGAAAAAACGTATAAATTTCCAATCTATCACTATTTATGTAAATATCACTATGTATTGTATACAGGATGACATACATTTTTGTTTCAAAATACTACCTATTACAACTAACACAATCATAGCTAACATATCCATAGTGGTTGGCACGATATGCTGTTTTCTGTGCATCAGGTTATAAGTTGGTGATGATTCTTAGTCCCAAATGTGGCTCAATTGTAATTTAATATGTATTGTAAAAGCTTAGTTATCATTCGTTCGTTCGTTTGTTTTAGCCGAAAGACGTCCACAGCTGGACAAAGGCCGCCCCCATAATCCTTAATTATAATAATAAATAATAATGATAAATAAATCTTTGGACAATTAGCACACAGCGCCAGATAGCCCCAAAGTAAGTAACTTAATGCTTGTGTTATGGGTGCTATCTTAACGGATATACTACTTATATTTTTTTTTCAAATACATTCATTTCAAATACAAATATTATAAATAGTAACACCCAATACAACACCAATTATAGACACTAATTTGGCCTTTAATTATGTTCATCTTTACCATTTACTATTAATTGTACATGACCTGTGACATGACTGTATGCTGCCTTAAATAAGTTGGGTTGCGTGTGATCAACAGTTACAGACAAAACGTTCTGGTTAAAAAATAAAATTAATACCGGGATGCGTGTGCTCACCAGTTAGAGACAAAACTTGCCTGCCATACATTGACACTTTGACTTTGCATTTTTTAGATTTCCGCTTCGAGCAGTACCAAACTGTGGACTTGGACAGATCCTTTTTGTTACTCGAGAACGTGTGATTTCCGACCTTAAGTAAATAACCTCGACCTAGGTCAATGATGCGATATTCTGAAAACAAACAGTTGGTTTTATTATTCAAAAACAATATATATTATATATGTATAATTATATATATTTTATTCAAACAATGTTGAAGCAACTAGTTTTTGGTTTGTGGTATCTAAAGAGCAATAAATAAAATTAGAGTTGAATATTTTATCGGTTTAATTATTAAATTATTGGTTTAATAATAAAATAAATCGGTTTTCATCAACTAAAATACATTTTTATTAAGATGCTTAAGAGCTAATTTTTCAATCGTCAGATATTATTTTGAACTGAAGAATAAACTTGGCATTTCACACCAAATTATTTTATGAATTTCAGGAATAATNCGATAACTTCTAAACTATGAAAAATCGTAAAACATACATGGGAGTGAAATCGATAGGTCTAGTCCTCACCTATCACCTGCCTTCGGCTTGACACCTTACAAGAAACACCCTGTATACAATAATATGTCAATCTCAATCTGAATGAAATTGAAATGTATTATACAAGTGACAACCGTGAATGATTTAAATAATAATATTTATGTTATTGTGAATCGACTTACCTACTTAACAATAAATCTTCTCGTAAAATATTATCTATACACTTTTGATTGCGTAAAAATTACATTGAACAATGTTAAAAACAGTTTACAAACACCAAATAAATTTTATTTATTAAAACTACGATATCTATTGTCTCCGAGGATTCGATCTATTCCGATCTAAAGCCCGGTCCGTGAGCACATAGAATTTTGTACAATGACCCCTAGCTACCCATCCTTATAGCTCGCGCAGTGAGTGTGCGAGCGCGATAGCAACATAATTACGCGCGAGCAATAAGGATGGGTAGCTTGGGGTCATTGGACAAAATTCTACGTGCTTCTATTAGTACTGACCAGATAATACCAACATCTTCTGCGTACTTTATAATAACCTTAACAAAACAAAATATAAAAGAAAAGCCTACACATGAAAATGCATTCTTAAGCAGTCTACACACCAAACTTACCGACCCGCCGACATGAGTCGTCGACTTTTTACAAATTGTAAAAAGTCATAGAGAAAGTAAAAGTAGGTAGACATGATTCCTTTGAAATAAAGCCACTGACATCAAGCCGCCCGGTTTGCGGCGGGTTTGGTGTGTAGAGTCCCCCTTATTCATAATTATTTTATATCTATTCACGAATTAAGAAGATTCAGGTGATGACGTCATAGTATCCATCATTTCCAGTTTTTTCTTCTTCGTCATAAGTTTTTTGCCTAAACAGTTCCCAACTGCCATTTCTGGAGATAAATCGCTGTGCACGAATCTTCTCAGGGTGGACTTCGGCACATCGTACTCTTTTACTGCTTTTTTTAGGCCCATTTTCTTTTCTCTGAGCGCTTTTATCGCTTCAATCATCTTGTTCTGGTCCCATGATCTTCTTTTTTTAGTGATGGGCATCTGCTGAAAGACGACCTCGAGGAAATCTGAAAAATTATACACATATTAGTTACAAAAATTATTCACTTTTAGTTATCAGTTCAAAAATTTGAACATAATAACCTTGTTAATTTACCAAAAAAACGTTCGAGAGTTAAGATTAATTATGTTTCAGGCATAATTTTGTCACCCACAACCAAACATAAGAAACAAAAATTTTATATAATCTAAAGAAGAACTTTATTAAAAATATAAACATTGACTAAAACTAAAGAATATAATATTTGGGGTCAGCAAAAATGTCAAAATGGACATTTAGCCAAAGAAGACTTAATTATAATGAAATCAAACAACTACGCAATAAAATGGCTTACAAAAAAATTCACTATGAAAACCGTATGATAGAAATGTAATATACTATATTGGCTTGATTTAAATTGACGCAAATCGCTTACTAAAAAAGTTATATTTTGAATATTGCTATCGCTTAACAGTTTTGGGACACTTTATTTTATAATAACGTACCACAATATAATCTGATATAGATCACTATCGTTTCTATATTAAATCTATACCTTTTCCTACTTACTTTCTTACTTACACTAGGACCTTTAATCAGGAAGGCTTTTTTTTAAGACTTTATCGCGCGTTCTTAGAAATAAAAAGTATGTTGGAATAATTTTGATAACAACATTTTTGGACCATAATGACGCAGTTACACTATGACCCAGAGCACGATCACCGAAGTCGACACACGGCGAAATTAACTGAAGTGCGTGTTTACACTATAAAATATGTCTTGATCAAGTGTGTAACTGCGCCATGGATCTTATGATGATCGCAAGGCGCTCGATAAAGTCTTTCCATGATGCACCGAAAGCCACGCGCACAAAGCTTAGTAAAAACTTTTTTTATATGGTGGCTTTCAGGCGATCACAGGTTCAAATAGCAATGCCGATTAAATACAATTAACCACTATACTTTAATATACTGCCCCTCGTGAATCAGATACTTAGCAGGGGGATGAGTGTGTTTGTTCTCATGGTCGATGATAGCAAAATTCTCGTCCAACTTCAGTTTGGCGTTGCAACCCCTACAGTTATGTGTGGAGCAGTACCAATGGAAGTATCTGGTCTTCTTGCATTGCTTCTTACAGTAGTACGTGTAGTCGTTGTACATGACTAGGTGTTTGCCAGTATACCGAGACTTCGCAAGCAGGATCACTGAAAATTTCAAATGTGTTAAAGCCTGGTCTGTGAGCACGTAGAATTTTGTCCAATGACCCCACAGTCGCGCGCGATAGCAATATAATTACGCGCGAGCGATAAGGATGGGTAGCTTGGGGTCATTGGACAAAATTCTACGTGCACGCGTCTCGACAGTGTGAGCCACCCGCTCCAGTAAAGATCATTTCAGATGCAGCAGGTATGTAGGTACTTACAGATTTCACTAACTTAAATCACCATTTGTCAAGTAAGCACGATTTTAATATACATTGAACCGCACAAATCAATATAGCGAAAAGGATATAGGTACTTTGGTGGAACCTTAAAGAAGATTGTAAAATGTGCACATGCCGTAATATTTCTTATTCTTTAATTTATCAACACAACTAGGTCAGGATGACAACATTAAAATTTTTGGATACTAAGGATTGGTTGAGTTTTATTATAAGTTTGGTCATGATGTCGTCACTTTTATTTTCAAAACTCCAAATATTTATTTATTTATTTATTTAATCAGAAACATCAGTTTTACAATATTCAGTTTGATGAGCATTAAATCTAACCAATTAAAGAGTTTCCTAGCTGCTTAAATAAGTTCGTACATTATTACATTTAATTTTATCAGGTAATGAGTACCAAACGCTGCATGCTCAACCATGCCTAAAAATAATAATCATGATTGAATGCAGCGCTCAGGTAGTATACAATCTTAATATAAGTAAATTTTAATATAAGTCAATTTGGGTAAATTACTACGATCCTTAAGCCATCAAAACAATTAAACTTTAATTAGGCAGACCTTAAATGTCCATATTTATATCCCACAATAACGTGATCTCTGAGTTAGTTACGTATAAGATGCACCGTGTGGTCAGAACACCCAGATATATTAGGTTTTCTAGGAACCCGGCGCATTAACTTGTAGAATAATATGTCTCATTTCCTTCTTCAGTGTAATAGAATTATTTAATAGAAATGTGTTATTTTATTATTATTACCTTTTCACATGATGTTATTGAAAATATAACTCCATAAACTATATTTTAGCCGACTACTAACGCTCTTTTAATTGGTCATAATAATTAACAAAAAAATCAAATCTTATCCCTACTACATTAAAGTACAAGAGACAAACTGGTAAAGACCATAATTACCTACCTAATTATTTCTTTATCTATCTATAAAAGCTCAACATTAATATTTCGTTTATCTAAGTAAATTGGAAACACACTCGTACTTGTGAGTTACTAAAGTTTAAATAATGCTAAATCACATAAATTCCTGTACAATTTGTGAATACACCCGACATCAAATAAATCGCACCTCCCGCGACAAGCACTTTCAAACGTATGGATCCCCACTTCCAACCAATATTGGCACTATTTAAAAGCCTAGTTTAAACTTCATTTCATTAAAGGAAAGGTTTTTACCCCAAAAATGTGTCTTTAGAAGGATCCAGAGTCACTTCTTCAAAAAATAGGTAGTTACGCTTGAGCCAACTTTTATGGCAATAAAACTGTTAAGTTGGGATTAATCGCTATCTATCTGTTAAAGAGGACACGTGTGATCATTATTTGGTTTTATAACCATAAAATTTGGTCTAATTGATCCCAGAGGTGAGCCCAAAGTGAGGTCTTTTTTCAAGTCACATTTATGGTATATGTTAATCATTTATTAAGAAATTAAATGTGTTTTTCTTTAAGGATATTTATTGGGGTTTCAAATAACACCAATATTGTTGGGGCACCATGATTGTGTCAGAAGAAAATCATTAAAGTTCGCGTCACGGAAGGTGCGGTTTATTTGATGTTGAGTGTATTTTAACCTGAATTTTATTGCTATGAAAACTCACTTACGCCCGCATTCACAAACGATGCTTGCTTAGAAACAGCAAATCGAACGCAGCGTTGAATAGAGCTCTGTGATTGGTTCGTGTGTCACCTTGTGCGTCCGCGCTCACTGTGAGACCTCATAGTAATGTTTGTGGATACGGGCGTTAGAAATTGATTTCAATGAACGCTGCATTAATACTTTAAGTACCAGCAAACTGAATCTACTTTGGCTGTCTGAATATTAAATTAAATTAAAATTTAGATTATAACCAACAGTAAACAAGCACAGTGCAATGTAGAATATAGTCAGCAGTTAAAAAAATATTAAACCAGTCTGTCTGAGAACTCAATATTATTTCAATTAACAAATCTAGCTCATTCATTTTTCTTGCAAAAATAGCATCTATTTCAAGAACACAGGGGAGAGTTCGGTATATTGTACCGCCGGGTAAATTGTATCACCCTCTTATTTCGTAAAGTATTTATTGAATGTCTGTAATTGCAACACTCAGCGATACACAACAATTTCCTTGAATATTGTCTATATGGTTTTTGCCGTGACAATTAACACGTGTGTTTTATTATGAAAAGATTTTTTTCATTGTTTTCAAGTAAGTATCTTTTGAAAATGCATGTTTAGTTTGTAATTTTGTTAAATTTAATCACACAGTGTTTCTAATTTAATAATTAGAAGCGTAAATTAGTGTGGATTACAATTATTTGAAACATTTTTTGGTATTTATAAGCTATATTTTTTACCGATTTTTTAAAAACACTATCACCTAGTCGGTTAAATTGTACCACATTAAGTTGTATGGAATTTTACCAAAGGATTTTCAAAAATTTTTAGTAAATCATATTTTGAACTTATAAGCTCGATTCACACATATCAGTGAAGCCACAATTCCGTCACAGTGTCCGCTCAGTTCAGTATCAGTGCTACAGTGTTGCGTCAGTGAAATATTTTGAATATTTTATAATGTCAGAGAGCTGTTTCAATATTCTTGTTCAGAAACTATGAAGTAAGTTATTTTGTTTTTAATGCCGCGGCGGCGTCCGTGATCCGACAAAAAATATCGTCGTCAACGAATACGTCCGTGATTGCCGGTGTCGGCACTGACACTGAGAACACTGTGTCGTCACTGACACTGACAAGTGGGGATGCGTTCATAGAAATTGTATGAAAGAATATTTCGCACTGTGCCGGTACTGAGCCTGAACTGTGACTTCACTGATATGTGTGAATCGAGCTTTAATAGCATAGTTATGTTTGAATAACAATAAATAAAAGCAAAAGACTGGCAAAGTAGATTAGGTAAGTGTGCGTTACGATAATTGGAATTACAAAACTTTTACTGAAAATCGTGATAACATGTGAAACAATATCGATTGTCTATGTTATTAACTACTGTTCCTTTTCGTTACCTAATTTGGTAAGAATGTATCGTATAATATTTTAGCATAGTTATTTAAAGGCTTAAAATTTATTGAAATCCAATTTAGTAACCCTGTGGTACGTGGTTATCGAACCGGTTGGCTAAATTGATCCGAAGCTCTGAACTCGTATTTTGTCGATTTGTGCTAAATATACAACAATCATGTTGATTCATACCTATGAAATAGTAAGTTGCATAATTTCTCTTTTATTATACACCAAGGACATTAGCAAAAACAAAACAAAAGTATGTGTAAGATGGGATTGAAAAAAATTGGTCCAAATTACCGGACTCTCCCTTAAGTAGCTATAGTGCTAAACTTGATGAGCCGTCGTCTGTATCATCTTATTTTAATATTTTCCTTTGTATTTCTATGTTTGTAAAGCATGCAAAAACGAGGCAATAAAGTAATATCTTATCTTATCTCATGTAAATCCCATCAATTACATTGAACAGCGGTGCTTTATGGTCATGGCCAAGGTTGGCCCTTTTGATCACTTGCTCCGAGATCGCCGTGATGAGACTCGCCTTACACCGTCCGTTGGTACAAGACCATATCTTGGTCTTTTTAGTAGTCTTATGGCAGTAGAAAGTGAACCCATCGACGATAATTATCTGTTTTCCACATTCCTTTCGCACCCATTCCACTGAAACTAATATTAAAGAATTAATAGGTACTCGTTTTAACTGGGGGCGTAGTGTGAGACGCAAGGTCTTGAAAGTTTCCGCTAGGGGCGCTGTACAATCCGTCATACATTTACGAAGTCGATATCGAATGCGTTTGACGTAAACTCACACTACGCCCCCATTAAGGTTCGGCCAAACCAACGCGATCACACGCGATCAGCCGGCGTGCAGCGATGGCGACCAGACTAAAATGCATTGATCGCCATCGCTGCACGCCGGCTGATCGCGTTGGTTTGGCCGAACCTTTAGGCGTGCTCGCTAGTGACTGTAAAAAAATTACATGATACACACTCGCCTGCAAAACTAAGTACATACCTACTTCACTTTTAATTTTTTTTCTAAGGTAGTATTATCTTTAATACCTCAAAGTTGTTGCAATTTTAAAAGTGTGATATTTAACTAAATTAGTAAGACACGAGTCTTAACGCGACGTTTATTAATGAGTTACATTATGTACTCACGGCTTGACGTTTCGGCTGCGATGCTGCAGCCGGACGACACCGCGGGCCGCCAGTCTTCTTGTGGCCACGGCAGGTGGACGTTGGTATCACCTTAAGAATAGAGTATACTTTTAAGGCCTATTCAGACCTAAGCGGTATTCGCTACCGTCTGCGGCAGAGAAAACCCAGTGGGTATGCGGTAATAATACTGTTCAGACCTAAGCGGTATTCGCTACCGTCTGCGGCAGAGAAAACCGCTCTAGCCGCGGTACTTGATACTAAATACCTGAGCGAAACCCGCGTGGTATGTACCTCTACCCACAGCGGCAGCGAATATCGCTCAGGTCGCTCTAGCCGCGATACTTGATACTAAATACCTGAGCGAAACCCGCGCAGTATGTACCTCTACCCACAACGGCAGCGAATATCGCTCAGGTTTGAATAGGGCTTTATAATCCAACAACCATGCAGCAACTGAAGCTGAGCATGCGGCAAAAAAATGTTTTTTTTTTCTTTGAATATTAATAATAAATAATGCATTTATTGACATACACCTGAGGGCTGAGTGTGAGTTTTTTTCAAACGCGCTCACTAGTGACAGTGAGCGCGTCAAAAAATGAAATTAAATGTATGACGGATTGTACAGCGCCCCTAGCGGGAAACTTTCAAAAACTAAAATTTTCATACATTTTTTAAACGCGCTCACTAGTGAGTGCGTTTGATGTAAATTCACACTCAGCCCACTGAAGGCGTTCGTAAATAACTTGTTTAGTATAAAAATTATAGCTATATTCAAAATGCAGGGCTTATACACCCTGTGCCGCACTGAAGTAAGGAAGTCTGATAGGTATTCTAGGGATGTGAAATACAAATATCGATAGTTTAATTTAAAAAAGTAACAAACAAAGATGAATTAATGTTTTTCAATAAAACAAGGATAGCAAAAGTGTTTTTGGCACTGAACACATTAAGGTTCGGCCAAACCAACGCGATCACAAGCGATAAGCCGGCGTGCAGCGATGGCGACCAGACTAAAGGTTCGGTCAAACCAACGCGATCACACGTGATCAGCCGGCGTGCAGCGATGGCGATCAATGCATTTAAGTCTGGTCGCCATCGCTGCACGCCGGTTGATGGCGTGTGATCGCGTTGGTTTGGCCGAACCTTAAAATGCATTGATCGCCATCGCTGCACGCCGGCTGATCGCGTGTGATCGCGTTGGTTTGGCCGAACCTTTAGGCGTGCTCGCTAGTGACTGTGTAAAAAAATTACATGATACACACTCGCCTGCAAAACTAAGTACATATCTATGTACTTCACTTTTAATTTTTTTTCTAATGTAGTATTATCTTGTATACCCCAAAGTTATTGCAATTTTAAAAGTGTTATATTTAACTAAAATAGTAAGACACGGGTCTTAGACGTTTATTAATGAGTTAGGTACATTATGTACTCACGGCTTGACGTTTCGGCTGCGATGCTGCAGCCGGACGACGCCGCGAGCCGCCAGTCTTCTTGTGACCACGGCAAGTGGACGTTGGTATCACCTTAAGAATAGAGTATACTTTTATAATCCAACAACCATGCAGCAACTGAAGCTGAGCATGCGGCAAAAATTTGTTTTTTTTTTCTTTGAATATTAATAATAATGCATTTATTGACATACACCTGAGGGCTGAGTGTGAGCTTTTTTCAAACGCGCTCACTAGTGAGCGCGTCAAAAAATGACATTAAATGTATGACGGATTGTACAGCGCCCCTAGCGGGAAACTTTAAAAAACTAAAATTTTCATACATTTTTTAAACGCGCTCACTAGTGAGTGCGTTTGATTTAAACTCACACTCAGCCCACTGAAGGCGTTCGTGAATAACTTGTTTAGTATAAAAATTATAGCTATATTCAAAATTCAGGGCTTATGCACCCTGTGCCGCACTGAAGTAGGGAAGTCTGGTAGGTATTCTAGGGATGTGAAATACAAATATCGATAGTTTAAATTAAGTTTTAATAAAAATTAAAAAAGTAACAAACAAAGATGAATTAATGTTTTTCAATAAAACAAGGATAGCAAAAGTGTTTTTGGCACTGAACACATGCAGTTAAAGTTTTTTTAACTTTTTTATCAGCTTCGCGGCTGGTTAAAGACCTTCGGAGTTTTTGATAACACCCGACACAATTCCTCTTCTTAATTCCTTTTTCCAAATTGTGTTTTCCAAGTTTTTGTGCGGGTTCTGAAAAGATTAATTTATTATTTTATTTTAAATTTATATGTGTTTGCGTGCGTGCATGGATTTGATGTGGATGTATATTATGTAGGTACATGTGTAGGTATGTGTTATTGTGAATTAAAATTACCTGTATCTAAGTATAACTATATTCTTAACAATATTCTTGCTGAGACGTTAAATCCCGCATAGTATTCAAGTATAATTTTATCCTAAACCTTAATAAACATGCCGTTAATAATGGTGAATTCAGGGGGCCGATGGTTATGATCCAGGTTGCCCTTGACGTAGGAATAGTCCTTGTTGCTGATTTTGAAGGTAGATTTGCAGCGGCTCGTCCCGTAGGTACACCGCCAAATTGAGGTCAATATGGCTTTTGAACTGCAGTAGTAGGTGAATCTGTCTACAACTCCCACTAATTTTCCAGACGGTTTTCGGTAGAAGGAAACTGAAAATTAACGAGTTTATTATTCTCTCATCATATATTGTTTAATTAATATTAGTAAATAGAAATCTGTCCAAGTGGGGATTCTTGGATGGCTCAAGTGTGGTTTTGTTCCCCAGTCGACAAAACACATGATGTCATGCCCTGCGTGCCCAAACAACTGCACGCAGGAAGATTTAATGAAGGCTACTGATGACGCCACTCTTATGGCGGATTTTGGGCTGACACTGTATTGTATAGGTTTGTTGTCGACACGATACGTAAGCAGATTAGTAAATACAAATTACTAATAGTCCCGTTAACCCCTGCGAAGGTCCCGCTTTCTACGGATACGACCTGTCACCGACACCATATTTAATTTTGTAGCTTAAACAAAATAGGTGAACACTTTATTTTACACCACATAAACAAGAAAAAAAAAAGAAATGGTACAAACAAAAGAGACGGTACAATTAACATTTCAAATTACAAAAAAATCTTAAAGTTTATAGTAAAGTCCGTTCTCGGTGATGAAGAGGGGTGGATCGTGATTATGCTGAAGATCCTGCTTGAGGAAGGAGTTATCCTCGTTGCTAAGGGTGAAGCGTGAGGAGCACATTTTGCCTTTTGTGCAGCGCCATTGATGGGTTTTTGCAGACTTGCAGGAGCAGTAGTAGGTGTACCGGTTGACTATGGCCACAATTTTCCCATCGGGATGCTTATTGTAGAATTGCACTGAAACGCCAACAATGATTAATCACACGAAAAGTATTTATAAATTACTAATAGTAATTTTGTCACAGATCGTCATAAATTGTAGCCTATATGTTATTCTGGGTTATAAACAATAATACTGTAAAGTGTCATCAAAATCCGTTCAATAGTTTTTGCGTGAAAGAGTTTGGATGTCTGGATGTCTGAATGTTTGTTACATTCAAGCATCCAGACATCCAAACTTTCGCATTTATAATATTAGTAGGGTTCATTAAAGTATGTTTATAATTTAAGACTATAAATCCGGGTCTTTTCAAGGCGAGAGTGTATAGGAACTTACAGGGCAGATATGTACCATCCTAGACTGCATCCCATAACATCAGGTGCGGTCAAATACCTGCATTGTTTAAAAAAAATAGTCCCCATCAGTTCCTGGTAATTAAGCTAAATATTAAGCTTGTGTTACTAGTTGGTTCAGCGGGATTTAACCCTTAACCAGGCCTAAAAAAAGTAATTGGTTTTCAATCATATCTTCACATCATAAGGTTCAAATTGATGTGGGCTCTGTGTAAACCAGAGCCTGGTTAAGGGGCGACCGTTCCTCAGATCTCGAGTTGGCCAGTTACATGCGGCAAAGTAGATTTCATTTGTCCATGTTTTTTTAATTAAATCGCCTTTACTTCGACTTTTAAATTGGAATTAGATGTTTTTGGAAAGATTTAAAATGCAAAAATATGATGCAAAGTACGATTTTAATTAGAGTTTTCAACGAAATAAAAACTGTTAATGTCAATCTCTCCAGAAATATATGAGTACATTATTTGAATATCCATTAATAGCATCAGATTGCACATGCTCGTATTTCATAATTCGTTTAATTCATCGTTTGTCTATTTAGGTACCTCCTTTATTTACAGAAAGGATAAAACGATAGTAAAATATAATTATTTATATGAAATCGAGATCCATCAACAAATTAATTCTTAGCTGTTAAAACACTGTAGTACCAATTGAAAAAATATATTGATACATTATTATTTCAAAACTTAATACTTAGTCGATAACAATCAAAAACAGGAATAAAAAATGTACATTTACAATATTTACAGATTAAGTATTAGATCCATAATAAGCGAAATGCAGTCATAAAGAACACTGATTTTTACTTTGTGTGCGCATACGCACTTTTCAGTGATTTTTATAATAGTATTATTTTCTCTCGAGATTCAACGCGCATTTCTTCATAATATCACATAATAAACATTAGGCACTAACAAAAAAACAAATTAAGAAAAGTAGAGTTTCCATGAGAGCCTTTTAAAATCAGTCAATTTGCTCTAGAAAGTGACCTAGCGAGAAACGTCATCAAGGTCAGTGTGCTTACCATGAGTTTACATTGGTTTAACAAAATTACATGAAGGCTGAGTTGCACCACCTAACATTGACCGTAACTTAGACAGATTTTTGAGATTTGTCAAAGTTAAAGTATGACGATGCAACCCAGCCAAATATATGACAGAGTGTACAGAGCGCCCTTTTACGGTTACCTTCAAGAACTAAAATCGTCATAGATTTTTACGCACTCGCTAGCTTTTGGTGTAAACTCATGGAAAACTACTGACATCACTAAACTTCCAGGGTCGCCTTCTCCTTTTTTAGCTTCCAACTTTGTCAATTTTCTCCAAAAAAAAAAATCCAACTGTTGGCGATCAACTAAGGCTAAGTTACACAACCTTATTTTAGCCATAACATTGTCAATAACCGGTGCTTTTTATTAAGTTTGACAGATTTTTGACGTTTGTCAAAGTTAAAGTAAGATGGTGCAACCCAGCCTAAGTAATTTTCCTCTGCTTAATATAGCTTGACCTTAGTTAAAATACCATCTCGTATAACAAAGGGCGGCGCAGAGTGATTATGGTCCAGTCTACTTAGCAGCATCATATTTCTCTTGTCTATGGCGAACCTGGCTCTACATTGCCTTGCGTTGGTACACCGGTACATGTCTCTGGTCACTCCTTTCCTTATGCAGTAGTAGGTATACCCCTCTATGATCGCTAGCAACTTGCCCGCCGGATTTTGAGCCCATAGACCGGTGAAGAAATTTTCTCCTAAAATGAGAAGCAGGTTATTAAATTCCTAGATTAGTTATCGTTGTATCGTTTCAGCCGAAAGACGTCCACTGCTGGACAAAGACCTCCCCCAAGGATTTCCACAAAGACCGGTCCTGCGCCGCTTGCATCCAGGTACCTCCCGCGACCTTCACCAGATCGTCGGTCCACCTAGTGGGAGGCCTGCCTGCTGGAGGATCGTTGTATGTGAAGGGATTATTCGAATCGTTCGTTTTTTTTTTCAGTAATTAAAGAAAAATGATAAATTAAGAAGTAGAAATTTAGAGGTGAAAATCCATATCAGACGCATCCAAGGCGAGATAGGATTATGCATTATCACTATTGAGGATAAAAAATATTTATACGTAAGTTTAGCGTCGCTCCGAATTGACAGGCACAAAATCTAATATAGCAATTTATATGGAAACGTCACGCCCGCTCACGCAGTCAAGCAGCGGCTCAATCAAAACCACGTAAGATGGACAGACGACCTCATAAAGACAGTAGGAAGGCGTTGGAAACCAATCTGGAAATCATATGTTAGCAGTGGATGTCTATCTCACTCCACTCTCTCTCCTGAAGTTTGTATGGATATTACAACTCGGTACTTACCAAATGATATTAGCCGGGACCAGCTTTAAACCTTAAAATTATTTTGATGACAGCAATTAAAAAAAAACATTCATCCAAACAAGTTTATTCACACATTACAATATTCGACTAGACTAGATTAATACTTTTATGTTCTAAAAATTCACAATTTATTATTTGACTAGATTATTTTATACATTAAGAGATTGGAATATTCTCAAATTATATCGTAATTAGTCATAATTATTTATACTCGTAGATACATTTTAGTTCACAACGCTTGCGGAATGCCATTTTCACTTTTTTACATGAGTATTTAGTAAATTATTACAACATTAAAAGTTGATTAAAAATATTGAGATCATAATTTAAATAAAAAGTAATAAATAATAAATAAAAAGATTCTTAAAAATGTCAAAAAAGCAGTTTACTAAAA